TATATGTGTGTGTGTGTTTCATATCAATTTCTGGTCTCTCTTTGATCTCTATGTGTAATTCCCTTTGAAGCAAAACTACCATGGAAGGCAAAAGACACTGTGATCATTATCATGAATGATAAAGAAGCAGAAATTGCTCTATAAAATAATTGTTTTATGTGTCTAATAAAAGAGAAGAGCTAATTAAAAGAAGGTCATCAACACAACTTTACCGTGTATCTGAAAAACAGGTAGGTATCTCTTGGGTCAGTAGAAAGTTTGACTACTCAAAGAGTAAAGACGACCTTACAGTTTATGGAAAGCTTAATTCTCTCTTAAGAAAATGCTCTTGGCCAGGGTGCCTGGGTGGCTCAGTTGGTTAAGCGTCTGACTCTTGATTTCTGCTCAGGTCGTGATCTCATGGTTTGAACCCCATGTCAGCCTCTGTGTTCACAGCGTGGAGCCTGCTCAAGATTCTCTGTCTCCCTCTCTCTCTCTCTGCCCCTCCCCCACTTGCTCATGCTCTCTCTCTCTCTCTCTTTCTCAAAGTAAATAAATAAACTTAAGAAAAAAAAAAAAGAAACAAAATCCTCTTGTCCAAAGCCAACTTGAAAGGCAACATCACATTACACTGAAAGTAATAATACATATTAGTCTGCCTGTTTCACAAGTAGGGGCTGTATTTTATTTATGTTTGTGTATCCAGGGCCTGGCATAATGTCTGCCTGCAATCCAGAAGATACGCAACAAAAATTCCTTGAAGGGACAGGGACATCCATGACTAGTATGTTTGCAGATGACTCTTAACTATTTTATTTGTGGCATAGTAAAGGGGAACTAAAGTAGAGAAAGGGGTTCTTTTATTTCATCGCCCACCCTGTCATCTCAAGGTGCTCTTCTCCTATTAGTCTGCTGGTAGAACTACTAACAGGTAGAACTGTAGATACTACTTTGTGAAGTTGCCAGAGAAAAATGCTTCCTTTGTATTTGGAAGGAATACAAATACCTGCTGAGGCGGGCCCCTATGAAGGTAGGAGAGATGTGGCCTCAGGCTGACCTACATTTACTTCAGTGAGAGCTTCAGCGAGGAGAATACTAAATTAGGAACATGCATATTATCCTCTTTC